AGTGGTGGCCAAAGTCACCCTCAGTGGCTGAAGTTGCCACACTTGATGGTACCTACAGTATATGGCCTGTATTCTCACTAAGTTGTCTCAAATATATTAGCTAGTCAAGATTATGAAGGGCTGGAGACTAATTATTTCTATTTCAGTTGTTCTTATGGGGTAAATTATTTTGGTTAACAAAAGTTTCAGAATTCAGTTAACCTCAACTTTTATAGAACAGATAATTGTCATTAACCAAGGTTCTACTGTATATTTGGTCATTAAACATTGTTGTTGGAAGCCCTTTTCCTGCCAGGCAGTAGGATTTTTCTATTAGGGGTCCTGCAAACCTCCCTCTCCTGAGATGCAAAAACATGGGAAAAACAAAGAATAAAATCAAACGAGAGTATAAATTTCAGTGTAGACATTATAAGTAGACTTCACACTGCCTAAAATGATTCACTAACTAAATCATGTTAAAGGTGTTTTAATTGACATTTTATGGTTTAGTGCACTCTTTAGGTTTATCATGTTAATTCTATGTTTGCTTTTCAGACTGGGTAAAAACAGGAAGACTGGTACATACCATTATTTGAGGTTGAGTGGACCCCCGTGCCTCGGTTTTGTGCTGGTTTCTCCTCCTTTTCTTTCCACTGTACATACGTTGTTCTTTTTTTTGTGTTGCTATTTGAAAAAATTATTAAACAAAAACAAGGAAAATGTTAAATAAATGAGTAGATTGGGATGGTTGTAGGGGAGATGGAGACCATCACTAATTCTTTCTTTTCTTGACCCTTTGCAATGCACTCCCTCAGGCCCACAATGTGGATGATAACACATTGTGGTTATAGAGTCCTATAACAACATGTTTCTTGATCTTCTTGTTATAACTTAGATAGGACTTAGGTTCTCAACTGATTTTTTAAAATGGTGGCAACTACATCTGTGCAATGAGGCAACCATATTTTTGTGTCTCTTGGATGAGTTGGCAGGCAATTAAATAAATAGCGGTGAACAAATGTGTGATTTACCAAAATTGTAAACTTCTGCAGTCCAGAAGTTTTATACCGTCAGATGGTGGTAATAAGGGATGGGCGGTGTAAATCGAGACAGTCATCCCACATTTTGTAGAAATTTTATAGCAGCTAAACTAATCAAAGTATTGCAAAACTAAAAATAGTGGCATAAAGTTCAACATTTTTACTATCTATATAGCATAAAGCAAATTAAGAAATCATACATATAATACCTCTAAAAAATCCCTGAAAAAAGTGTGAATATTGAGATTTTGGAAAAGTACCTGTGCTAAGGTCTGTAGCAAAAAAAAAATATTCACTGTATTAAAAAATTTTACTTAGTACTCACATAAAAGTTGCACACAGGTGTTGGCTAAGAAATATGATTGACAGAATTTGCGTTACTCATTCCAAAACAAATGGCGACCATTACCGCACGACAAGGAAATAAGGGGTAATAAAATAAGGTTGTGTTTTATATCACAGGTTCACAATGGTCACACAAGCGGTCACACTTGAAGCGTCTATGGCGTCTTCAGCTTTTAATTTTGCTTCGGCATCATCCCTTATTACCCTCTGGGGTAATTACAGTAGAACTTCAGCTAGCAAAGGCTCAAAACCAAAAAAAGGCTCAAAAAAGGCTTTAACCAAAAAAATCAATTAAAGACAAAAAATTTTGAATACATTTACTGTGGGGGCAAACATCTAAGGCAGTGGTCAGAAGGAAGGACATTCAACGAATACAGTTTAAACACTTTACTTAAGAACAAAAACTAGGATACTAACATTAATCAAAGGTATGAACAACTTCTGAACAATACAAGGGCAGGTGAATTCCCGCTAAATATAGACACGTGAGCGTGTCTAAGCAAACTAGATAGAAGTAGCGACGTGAAGCGTCAACTCTCCACAATACTATTGGGTCCTTGTCGGCTTCCTAAAAGCTTACACCAAACACACGGCAGGAGGCACACCTTCGTGCCCCACTCAACTTAGGAAGTTCAAAATTCCCGTGGTAGAGATGGCCGTGGAGGATACCGTGGCGAAGCCCCACGAGGAAGGTAGTAGGCACGTAGTGCTACTAGATGCTAGTTCGACTAGACAGAAGAAATGGCTCCGGAGGTGACTTGGTCAGTGACACCACGCAGGCCCACCGGCGTACCGGCAAAACAGTAAAACGAGGAGCGGCAAGTGCGCGTTCCTCCACGACTGAGATGGCAGTGCGGCAAGTTTGGCCGGCACGCATGATATGACGTGTAAGTTTAGCGGAAAGTAATTTTATAACGAGCTTTCCCTCACATTTACCTTGCTCAGCAAAAAAATTTCTTTGATGACAAATTCATGCATCATTGGTCATCCCAGAATTTTGCGTAGAATGTCAGCAACAGAATTGTGCACCGGGCAACATAAAATGAAAAGTAATTATCCTCAACTATGATTAATTTCTCAAAAATATATGGTTGTCATTAAAATATTCCTTTCTGTTTCAGGTATGTTTTTACAATCTTTTTTTTTTTGGTTTTAGTGAATTCACTTGACCCAATTAAAATGGTGTAAAATTACAAACCATATCGTCAACCGGGGCTACTCGGGATGATTTCGAACGTTTTTCATTCATAACTTCTTACCATGAAACATTTCATAAACAAGTTTAGGCTCATTTCAAAGCTCTTTGCAAGGGCTATCACATGGTTTCTCCAAAAAAATTCCATATGCTATTTGTAAAGTGCCAGAAGCAAAAAAATAGTGTCCCGAGTAGCCCCGTCGAACAGGGCTACTCGGGACACTTGGAATAAAACTTGATATAAAAACATTTTAAGCATGCAGAGTGTAATCATCCATTACTAACAGTACTCTGAAGTCCTCCTCTTTTATTGTAGATGATGTAGAGGTAGAATATATGACATTTTCTGTGATTTTCACTTGTTTTTCCTTTATTGATATGATATTACCATATACATTAATTACCCTATTATTGATGCGATATTTATATCTATGAACAGGCCATTGAGCATTTCAACTACCTTGTCCACTGCAAGCTTCATATCAGCAGCCTTATAGCATTTTTTCTGTATCTGTAAGTTTACAGGACGGCTTGTAATTTCACACCATTTTAATTGGGTTAAGTGAATTTACTATGAAAAAAATCATGAAAAACATACCTGAAACAAAAAGGAATGTTTTAGTGACAACCATCATATGTTTCGGAGAAATAAATCATAGTTTAGGTCAATTACTTTTCAGTCTATGATGCCTGGTGCACAATTCTATATATGACATTCTATGCACAATTTTGTGATGACCAATGATGCACTAATTTTTTGATAAGTGAAATTTGTTTGCTGAGCAAGATAAATGTAATCAATATTCTTTGTTTTTAATCAATTTTTTTCTCAACTATCGCCTTTGCTAACTGAGGTTCTACTGTAAATGCATTTTTGGGGGTGTCCTGAATAGCCCCGGGGGGTATCCCGAGTAGCCCCGCCGTGCGGAAATGACTGCCATTTTTTTGGGATTGAGGTATGTAAATTCTGCAAATAAAGTTTTCATGCTGACACTTGTCTGCCACTTTTTTGTAAGCGAAATTTTTTAATACGGCAAAAATTTTTTTTAATGCAGACCTTATCAGAAGTAACTTTTCATAATATCATTTTTCACCATTTTTTTCAGGAATATTTCAAAGCTAGTAAATGTAGTATTTTTGAACTTCCTTTGTACTACATTGATTGGAAAAATGTTGACTTTTACGCCACTATATTTAGTTTAGCAATATCCCAATTAGTTTTACTACTAAAACAGTTTTACGCTGTGTTGAGGACTGTCCCAAGTTACCCTGCCCGTCCCGAGTAGCCCCGGTTGATGGTACTGTAAGCTTGCATATACAGAAGGAATGCTACATGGCTGCTGATATGAAGCTTGCAGTGGACAAGGTCATTAAAAATGCAAAATTGCATGTCCATGGATATGGTAATATCACATCAATAATATGGTAAAGTATGGATACGGCAATATATCAAATATCAATAAAGGAAAAACAAGTAAAAATCACAGAAAATGTCATTTATTCTGCATCTACATCATCTACAAAGGAAGAGGAGGACTTCAGAGTACTGTTAGTAATGGATGAGTACACTCTGCATGCTTCAAACATTTAAATTTGAGTTTTATTTCAAGTGTCCTGGATTACCCCATTTCCAGGGGTAATATGGGATGCTTTTATTTTGCGTCTGGCACTTCTGAAAAGCATATCGAATTTTTTGGAGATGCCATTCAAGAGCCCTTGAAAAGAGCTTCAAAACGAGCCCAAACTTGTTTATGAAATGTTTAATAGTAAACAGCTATTAAGGAAAAATGCTCAAAACTGTCCTTTATTATCCTGTTTGATGGTGTGTTCCTGCCTAAATATTCTGCATAATGAGTGGACCCAAAAATGTTTCATTGGTGATTGCATAGCTGCAGTGACGTCAGACTGCATTATAATTACATTAATTCATCAACCAAAAATGTAAATGATACATTATCACTTGTTCAGTTGCAACATAAGTGAAGATAGAGGGTTTTCTTGCCATTTATAGGGTAAAATTAGAAATTTGGGATAACTTGTGCACAGGACTTTGCAAATGAGTTTGCAGCTCATAAATGGCTTTTCATAGCCTGGATATGGTATTCATGGCACAAAAAATGAAATCATGGCTTACAAATCCACAAAATCATGGCTCAAAAAATTGTCATGGTTCAGAGAGTACCGTAGATGTTTTCATTGTTAAGATTCCTGTATTGTCGTATAGATATTGAATAAAATTTTGAACTAGGTAGATCACGAAATTAAAAATTACTGGTTTCTAAGAAATCTTTTGCCACTATGTGGCTGTCTGTGCTGCAAACCTCACTACTAGAGCTTTTCTGCCTTTTTTAGTGCCACAAAGTTCCTGGTAGATTCTCTCTCAGGACAATTTCCAATATTAAGTATTGTTTAGCTTCCAATCATAGGTATTCCATTCTATTGGATTATTATTAGATTAAAAAAAGTAAACTATTCTACTGGGCCTTATGTATTTTGCTCAACAAAAGTCTTCAGGTACTTATTTTCCTTATTAATGCCTAATTGAATTTTTCATGGATGGTTTAAAGTTTTTATAAAAAAATTTTCCCATAAGCCACAAATATGCTAATGCAAAACACTTTTTTTCCATGCTTCCCATACCTCCGCTTTCAAAATTCATCTTGCAAGTAGTTTTCAACAGTGATAATCCTTGAGGAATCTCCTAGAATGCACCAAGCCAGTGAAGGGCAGCATGTGCTGGTGGTGTGGGAAACAACATCTACAGAGTCTGATGTCAAGGCGCTGGTGATGCCACTCAGGGTGAGTCATGCACTGTTCCTTATTTTTGTAGGGTAGGAACTAGGTAGGAAAAATTCTGTGTTTTTAAAATATTTTTCAAGGAATAAGATTAAGAAATGTATCGACTAACTTTCATTTTCCAATATAGTATGCCAGTATTTAAAGTTGTAATTTAGAAAAAAAGTAAATTACGTTACTGACTTTTGCTGTGAAAATTATGCAGTATTCAAACTAAGTAGTTCTTGGCATCTTTAGCAAAGAGTAATATTGAGAAATGTATCAAATAAATCTTATTTTCCCTTTCAGTATGCCAGTATTTGAATTGATAAATATAATTCAGAATTCAATAATCAGGTTACAACATCAGGATTTTGCAAAGTCTTCTTATCAGAAGTACTGTAATTCCAACTCCTGTCAGTGAACCCCAAATTACTTCATATTCCCTAATTTTTTTGATAATTTCATATTAAAGTACCTATTTTTAATTTGCAAAAGATCTTTTTTGGACTGATGGAATTCCAGTTAAATTCATGTTTCAAATTTATAAGCTAATTCTTATTCAAGTTATTGAATATAAATCGTTCAACTAAAAAAAGTATTTAATATCAAACCTCTTTACCCTGTTTTTTTACCACGTTTTTCTTAGGTCGCTTTCGTGTCTGTCTGTGATGATCAAATCTTGCAATCGATATTTCACCAACTTTCCCGCTAGCTAGCGCTCTGAAATTTTTAGGGAAGCTCAGCTCCCGATGACAATACAATAATCAATAATTTGTTGCACGTTTCCAGGCGTATTTATTACCGAACCTTTCTTTATTACAGCCACGCACCCAGATAAATATGGGAACAACAATGTATCCCCTTGAATACAATTTTCTACAGAACTTTGAAAATAATTTTCTTTTGTGCATATGCGTGGCCAACTGAAATTAAATGAATATTATGTAGGATGGTTGACCTTTTTGCAGTAGTTATAAACTCTAAAGGAACTCACAATCAGGGGTTGGGAACCTTTAATGCACGTCATCCTCGAGAGGATATTCGTGTTTAGACTGCGTATATCGATGATACGCTTCGTATCATCGATACGTGTGTCGAGTCAAGTAAATTGGCTCGCAACAACGTTTTTCATGTGTAGCAACGGACTAAAAGGAGAAAATTAAATACTTAAAAACTAAAAAGTAGAAAATAAAATGTATAAAAAAAATATATGATGGTTCATTGAACATTTGATAAGTGTATTGCTGATATAATTCGAAATAGTGGTTGAATTCAAAATTGAAATTAAGGCATGCCTAAATGAAGATGCGCCCCACGTTTTTCGTTGTAGATGTTATAAAATATTTTAACTGAAATACAAAAGACCAAGAGAATGAAAGCAAACAGAGATCAGCAGCTGCCGAAAAATTATTTTCTACTTCTGAGTCCACATGAAAAACGTGGTCTTTAAAAAATTTTCTATATACATTTTATTAATGGGTCACATTTCCACATTGTATTTACTAGAATATAAATTTACATGGAGTTTATTGTTACAAAGAGGTTTTAAATAGTGGTTAAGCATCTATCATGTCTGCTATGTTTGAATGCTTCATCACGAGTTTATTCAATTACAGGATGCTGTTGGAAGTGACGGTAGCGTGGCTACCGAATCTGCACACATGTTAGCACAGTCCTCTCTGCCATCATCGAAGTACGACCTAGCCCTGCTTGGCCTCTGCTTCCCCTTCGCCAGTGAGGCTCCTATTGAGTTGCTGTCTGAAATCTCTCGCTTGCTCAAACCCTCTGGAAAGTTGGTCGTTGCTTCCAGTTCAGTGGACCTCATTCTCAGTAACCTGAGGCTGTCAGGTTACACCGACGTGCGCGTAGTGGGGGATGTTAACCTTACAGACGAACAAAAGTCGGCAAGCACCGGCGTGGCAGTCAAAGAAATCTTGGCGTGCAAACCGGACTTTGAAATGGGCTCATCCATGCCGCTTTCTTTTGCTTCCAAGAGTTCAAATGTTTCTGAAACTCTTGATGATCCTGATGATCTGCTCACTGAAGAAGACAAAGTCAAACCTGATGCAGCATCCCTCAAGGTGATTATGTGTAACTTCATGCATTTCATTGTTATATCCTCATTCATCTTCTGTCTACTGACGGTATAAACTCTGCTATCAGCTCCTTAGATACTACTAGTAGCACAGACGACGTTCAGTTGAACCTTAGAAAATACGATAATTTTGTATTGTTGTATCCCTTGCAAACAAGTACCTATAGGAACTTATTTTATCAGTTCACACAAAACTTTCAATTTTAACACGATCCGTTCTTTTATGATTTTTGTAAATAATTTCATTCATGTCATTTCTTACTGACAGGTTTGTGGCACAACTGGCGAACGCAAGGCCTGCAAAAACTGCTCATGTGGTCTGAAAGAAGAGCTCGAATCTGAAATGCAGGCCGAAAAAGACGCTGCAAAGAAAGATTTCAAGTCATCTTGTGGTAACTGTTATTTAGGAGACGCATTTAGATGTGCTTCTTGCCCCTACGCCGGATTGCCTGCCTTCAAACCCGGAGAAAAGGTCAAGCTTATGGACACTACGCTACTTGATACCATTTGAAGTTCTCTGATACGTTTCGACAACTTACAGTTCTACTACTGAAAAGTTGTGGGATTTCATGAGAGAAATACATCAGTAAAGACTACAATAAACCCGAAAGAGCTGTCAAATTTTTGTTTGCGAATATTGTAACTCAAGATTCGAGGGAGAATAGCTTCGTGATCAGATTCTGGTGACCATCGGCAAGGCACTTGCACACGCAGAGCAATTTATGTGCCAAATTACGGTACCATGCACTTCCTCCAGCCATTGAATATTCAATCGAATCAGGCATCACTTCATTTATGCTCATATTATGAGCTACTTGATTAATTAGGTAAATTGAACCGTGTAAAACTGTTATGGTTTTGTATGTTCGATGAAGACTTGGGTTGATTTAAATTATGATTACTTACATTGCTTGCATGCAGTCCATATTCACGTTCCTTATCTTAGAATTTTAAAAGATTTAATTTTTTATACTTGATAGGGCTCTTCCTCCAGTCAAGCATTAGCATGCTGGCGAAGTTTGTTCTCATATTTTTCTGTCGCGTTACTTCAAAGTAATTTCCGTTAATAAAGTAATTGTACAGCATATATGAACTTTCACTAACCATACAAGAGAGTTACAATACAAGGAGAAAACATCTTCTCTAGCGCATCCAAAGTTTTACAGGGGGGACTTCTGACGCGTGTCTGTGCGCGTCAGAAGTCCTATGGGATTTCGCGTTCCTAGGGGATTGTTCCTGAGCGCCCCACCGCTGAGCTCGCGGTGTCTGACTGCAGGTCTCAGTTGTGGGGTTAAGTTATTATGTAGGTAGGATTATTTATATTTCACTTCTCTGTCTCTCTCGTGCGGGCGGTCGACGTCCCGTGTAAACGACCTCTTGTTCGAGTGTCTTAGTTTCTGTTGCTTTTCACCTGTCCCTCCTTGTCACTTCGTCTCTTTGAGATGCTAACGCTGCTTCTTTCGAGCCAGCTTCAGCGGGCTGGACATCTGAGACCTTCCGCCCCTTGTGGGTGATGAATAATTGAGACCTTCCACCTCTATGGTGATGTTCATCTTGACTTTCGGTGCGAGATAGCTAAATAGCTGAAGCGCCAGTAAACATTTGGCCACTAAACTAACTAACTCACTGCGCATTACGAGTAAGGAGGAAAGACGATCGCATTTACTTACTGTATTTCTGAAGCTTGATTGAGCTCACTTAAGTGATTTCTTTTCAGCAATAGTCTTGAATTTGTAGGATAACATATGATTTATTGATGTTGCAACCTCAGCATATTAATTCTTTTTCAGTGCATGTTTGCTTCCATTTCATCATATACCGTAGTGATGTCGGGAGCGCAGCCGTGGGTAACAAAATTGACTCGTAAACAGGCCCTGAGCCTAACGCCATCCATCAGCATGCAATATCTACACATAGCCTCAGACCAATGAGCTGTGGGTAAATCCGGCAAACAGTAAATCCGCTTTGCACAACACAGCCACTGCTCCACAGCGCCGCAGCGCAACTGGCCGGTGCGCAACAGGCCCTACCGCAACAGGCGGCGCAGGTTACGTTAGGAGTAGCTGTTGGCTATTGCGGTAGGGCCTGTTGCGCCCCCGCCAGTTGTGCTCCGGCCTGTGACTGAACGGCGCTGTTGTGGTGGGCGCTTTGTGTCGAAAGCCGTGAAGATGCCCGGCTGCGTTTCGCTCGGGAAGGTATATGAATCGCACTGTGGACTTGGGCTATGCTGACCTCTAGCTATCCACCCGTGATGTCGGCGCTGAAGAATAGACCTGATGTGGTCTGTCGCCGACTCTGTACTTTTCGTGTCTTGTTCACAGGAGATCTAAATACTGGTCCTTGATTAAATTTTTTCAAAACTGACGATAGTTTGAAATAGCTACTATACTTCCACAGGGTTATTAGGCATTTCAATTTCAAGTCTGAACATATATTTCTCCATAGCTTTATCTAGTCTGTTATAAAAAGGAGCGTAGACGATGCAATCGAGGAGGCTGTTCCACATGTCGGTGACTCGAAGCGGGAAAAAGTCTTGTCGCTTGGATGAGTTGCAACGCAGTTTTTTTTATAACCGTGGCCCCTGGTGTTGGTTCTTTTTTAAAATTCTAGTAATCCCTCTGGGACCTTGTATAAGCCGCGATATACTTGTATACTTCAGTGAGGTCACCACGCAGGCGTTGATAACAGAGGCTTGGTAGCTTCATGATTTTCAATCTTTCTTCGTAAGAATTTCCCTTTAAGCTTGGAATTTTTCCTTATTGCACGTCTTTGAACACTTTCTACTACGGGCGCACGACAGCGACAAATCAAATGGCAGAGTTCTGCAGCATCAATCAAATCGTTTCTGTATCTAGGAACTCCTAAGAGCGTCTGATCAGTCCAAGAAGTTTATTGGATTTATTAACTTGCGTTTCGATATACCTATAGAATTTCAACGCCTTGTCGAGATAAACTCCCAAATCTTTTTCCACGCTAGACTTTTCAATAATTACTCTCGTTGCAACCAAGTCTTCGCATACTGTAATCTTGCTGTTCATTGTTCTTCCCAAGGTGACGTACGCTTGTCAGCATTAAAACGCAGCTGCTATGTATCAGCCCAATTAACTAAACTATCAAGATCAGGTTACAATTGTACTCTATTTCACGCATTCTTAACTGTATTCTAAACTTTTTTATCATCGGCATACATTGAGCACACGCTTGTCATTATTATTATTATTCTACGAAGTATTATTCGTGGCGTCTGGTTCAATTAAACTTCGAGGGCACGTCACACATATGATTAATAGCAAGCGAAAAAAAGACATAAAAAAGGATAGGAACGGATAAAATGACTAAGGACTAGATTCATAGGCTCTACAAAATAGTTCCGTCTTTGGGTGTCGACGAAACACCTGCAACGAAGAAGCCGAAGTTACGGAAGCCGGCAGACTCTTCCAGGTTCTGCCGGCGGGGGCCTGGAACGCTCTGTCGACAACGGTAGATAGACGTGTAGGTGGTACGACGAGGTCCGTTGTTGATGTCGAGCGCAAGTGTCTTCTAGCAGATCCGTCACGCGCTGCAAACCTTCCATGAGAAAAGGAGGCGCCAGACCGTGAAGGCATCGGAACTTCAGAACAGCGACCTCGAACTGCGTGCGCTGCTAAATGAGCAGCCAGTGAAGATCGCGCGATGTCGGCATCACATGATCGAATTTTCGTTTATTGCGCATGAGTCGAGCAGTAGAGTGTAGTAAGGATCGCGATTTATTAAGTGCCGTGGTCGGAAGTACACAAAGTGGGGCATTACTATAGTTTTTTTTTTCTTATTTTTTTTAAAGGCCTCCCACACTCACCATTCCAACAAAAAAAAAAAAAGGAATTGATTTTATTAATTAAAAACAGGGAATGGTTTCATGTCAATGATCAGGGCCCCGACCTTAACGCCTCTGATGGTGGCCTACACCGACTCCGAGGGTCACTGAGCTGTGACGCGAGCGAGGAGCGGGCCCATGAGCCGAGTGTCTTGGATGTCGCCCAGCGCTGTACTTACAAGAAAGGCCATGCAGCCCTCGTGCATCCATCCGCTTTCCGCACCGACAAGTGTGGGGTTCGTGGGGTTCACATACATTTGCGCCAACTCGAAGAGCAATTGAGACGCGGAAGGAGTCGGGATCTAGAAGTGTTCCAAGAGCATCTGAAGGAATAGCGTGAAGCCACAAGCCACTCTCTCTCCTCGCCGCCGCCTGGCACAAGACAAATTATGTGTTCAATAACCGCATGGAATTCCTCCACGCGTACATCACCCGAGGTCTATGTATGACCTCTTCCCATGAGATTATCCAGCAAACACCACAGCGCCCGAGGATCGCTGCGTTGCCTGCCGACACTCTGGCGCCAAAATGACTCTCTTTTAGAACGAAGAAGGTCGACATAATTGCGCCGCGCATCTCGTCAGGTGGAGGCCACAGCAGCGGCAGCAGCAAGATTGCCGTGTCTGTTCGTCCGATAGACAGCCTGCTGGAGCAATCGAGTCCCCCACTTCGAGACTCGACATTCATCATCGAACCATGGGTCGGAGACCCGTTGGGGTACCCAAACAACTCAGCTTGTTGTTGTAGAGTTACACGAGGTCATTGACTGATGGTGCCAACCATGAGTCAGGCCGACATAGTCGGGACGACTGCAGTTTTTCGCGTAAGACATCGCCGTCGAGACTGCGCCACGAACGACAGGTATCGGTCTTGTACGCTGGCATCGGGCGCACACATGGCACCGTCCACAGAAATAGTCAATGGTCGGATATTACGATCTCGGTGATGTAGACTGGCAGACTTTGAAGGTCAGCACGCATGATGACAATGTGCAGCAGTCCGCCCATGTCGTGCGTCGGCAAGGTCACTTGACAAACCATGCCTAATGCGGCCAGAAGGTCGTTCAGCTGACGAACCGATTGGTCTTCGACGCGATCTAGTCGAACGTTCAAATCGCCGGTGATAAGGACATGATCGGGCAAAGTCACAAGTCAGTTGAAGACATCGCTCCATTCGACGAAAAAATCGCGCGACACGGCAACCTATCCAGGACGGCAGATAGTGACTGCAACGCCCGTAAACGAGGCACAGGTGACCCCGGCACAAAGCAGTTGAAAAGTGGTAGGGCGGGTGCCAATGTCAAGAACGGAAAGGTGTAAGATTTGGATTTGGGGCGTGGTGACTCTGAAGGGAAGAACGACCTTTCAGAGTCAGGCCTTTGCAACGGCCATCAGCCATGCATCACATTTTCATTTGTTAGTAGAAAGGATGAAGAAAGGGAAACTATAAACAGCAAGGAGGGTGTGAAAGTTCGTGTTAGGGGTAAGATGAGAGCTAGGTGAAAGGGAATCAAGAGGAAATTAAGATGGTTTATTATTGCTATATCTCAGTTTTTGCCCTATGTAACTTTACATTTACGTTAGTTATGTGGCCTCTAACGCCTTAAGTGACTATCTGTGTTATATTGAGTTAATTATGGTTTGGTTATTCTATATTTATTATACTGCTGCTCTCTACTGTCCCCCGGCCTCCACTCTTGCCAGCCTCGTCCTCTTCCTCACTCTCCAGAAAGCGCTTTCCACTCTGAGTCATAGCGGCTGTCACCCCAGTTGACAAGCCCACTATCATTGCCGTCAATTCGTCTCCCGTTCTCTCATATACCACTCCGTCACCCTCACCAGCTCCCGCTGTTGATGGTAGCCACTCCACCGTAATTCGTCGCCAGGTTGTCTACCTTGAATCCTTCAGCGCGATGCAAGCCGAGACACTGGAATTGGAATTGGAATTGGGGTGCGTGGTGACCTACGGTCACGACCTTTAAATCGGTCATACACGCTGCCTAAAAAACTTTTACTAGCATCAAAAAATTAAAAGTTCACACTCTTATGTTAACAAAAAAGTTCAAATATACCATATTCACAGCTGTCCTAAGAAAAAATATAATGCTAGGCACTGCTACACTCTTCCACACTTCTCTCAATACTTCATACTTACTCGCTCTCACTCTTGCTGCACTTCCAAGTATACCCAGCCATTAGAACTTGCAACTACTTCCATATTTCGGTTTCAGCGTT